GTCCCGGGGCAGCTGTTCCTCACAGGCTCATTTAATGAGGTGGTGGCTCTCGGCTTGCTAGTCATCTGTCAGCCTTGCAGAGATGTTATCAGTGACAAGATGCTTCCCCTTATAATGGGAAGCTATCCATCCCGCACCGATGCTGCCTACTGCCTTTCATGTTGGCACTTGGAGGTGCTAGAGGACAAAGCAGGGTTAGGATGGGAAAGTCGGAGGCGGCAGTGTTTCCCTACTGTAAAGTCATTATCCGTTCGATGGGAGGGGAAGATGTGTGTGCAGTACATGCTAAATTTAGCCGTAAAACAGCTGAGGCTGACACTAAGCATTCTACACTGGGAAACTAGTTTCAACAAAGAAAAAAGGATGATTCATTTTCACGAATTCTGTGAATGTCCCGTATAAAAAAAATACTTTTTTTAATGTATGGTACACATTTGAATAAGCTTCGACAACAACGATACGCATTGCACAAATCTTAGATAACACACTTCCGTTCTCTGTAAAGCAGTAATGCAGACAGGATACCAAAACATTTTACAGTGGCATTTTCTTTACAAACTGGCAACGTTGAGAAAAACAACAACTTAAATCCGTAACCCGTTGCCACAACCTGTATTCTGTAAATCTCCCCGTGAATTCTCACTGGAGGCTGTAACACGAGACAAGGCAGCTTTAATCTGCAGTCAGCCACCGGAAAGCATGGTCAGCATGGAATGTCAGAGTTTTTTACCCAGGCCAAATGCACATTTGGGTGGGGGGCAGTGCGTAGAACAGTGGACAATTGAAACGGACAAAAAAGTTCGGGCGATATTTTTAACACTTTCCTCCATTCTATTGCAATGAGGTCAAATCGAATATTCTGCCCGGTTCGTAAAGTATCACAAACGAAGATACATTCTGTCCTCCGAAAAACACACGTGTTCACAGTCTGGAACTATGGCCTTTTTGTAGCCAATGTTTACATTGCATAAGTTAATAAGTATAACGTATCTCTTTTACTGAATACATTTCATGCCCCACCCCACTCCCTTCTCTTCCCTCTTTACTATGAGGGATGAACCCTTGATGAATGCCAAAGACTGAGCCACAAAGCAACAAGACACAACGGGAATCCTTACAATTGTGAATTAAAAAGTGAGGCATGAGAACGCCGCTCACCCAGGCTGGTAGCACTGTACATACAAAGAGCTCGAGGAGGACGAAGGGAGGGGTGTTCCAGTTTTCAGTGGGGTAGGTCAAGCGAGGCCTGACCCCTGGCTGCTGAAAGGGACCCTGAATGGGCTGAATTTCTGGGCAGTCAGCAGGGAATGGGCTGGGAACTGGGATTACTGAGCGGCCTGGAAATGGAAACCGCTGCCCCTGCGTCTCCGGCCAGAGCCATTGGGGGGAGGGCGACGACGGTGGTGGTGGTGGTGGAGGGGGAAGGGTTAATACTTTCAAGCTCCGGTCTCTTTTATTGTTGTAAGCTGGCTTTATTATGTTAGTGGCTTTACAGTTGTTTGGAAAACAACATTCCCAAATGCGCCACATTACGATCTCTGCCGAGGCAGGCGTTCTGCGTAATATTTACCGCCAGTTCGGTCACACCGATTGGGTGCACCTTGTTCTCCCGTTTCTGCGTATTTTTTCCCTTTGTATTTTCGCAAAAGTCTCTCGTGCCAAAAGAGAGTCAATTTATTTAAATCATTGGCCTTTACCTGGAAACTGAACTAAGTCGAATGCACACGATAAAACATTATGTAATGCTGCGGCACGTGTGAGTTACGGGGTATTGCACTTCAAGCTTTATTCTCTAAGTGACACATGCAATATATAACATGTCGTAATGATTAAATCTATATTGTCAATTTCCTTTGAAAAAATGTTTGATTATCCTATTCGTTTCTCATTGCACGTTATTGTAACCGATAAAAACTCGAGCAATATTTTTGCAAATTAAAACACATGTCGTGTGTGCATAGGTCACGATGCAAACTTTCCCAAAAACTTCCAGACTCGCCATAATCACACTTAATGGCTGGTAGGCAACGAAAAACAAACTTTGCATGCGCCCGTGAACGAATTAAACGGCTTCAAAGAAGATTGAGAACAGCTGTTTTGGCCATTTGACCCAATAAACTCATCTACTGTTACTGCGCAACTATGCGGTACATCCGAACCCTCGACCAAAAGGAGCCAATTTAGACGTCTGCACAATATGCTCGAGTGGGCATTCCTCGAAAACACTGGCCAATTGTTCACCGTACCACAGATAAAGTAAATGCTCAAAGAAAACACAACTAACCTAATAGCCTTAAAGGTACCTGCTCCTGAACTAACGTTTGGGGAATACTGTATTTATTTAATCTATAACATATACTTCTGTAAGGTTGTTCTTTTTTCTCTCTCTCTCTCTCTCTAATTGTATAAGGCAATGCCATTTTATAATGATTGTTGATAAAGTATATTTTACATAACATTTGGCATCACATACATGCGTAATTGTACACTTCAGTATGTACATAATGGCCCATTAAATCAACATAGAATGGATAGGATATTTCACGCAGATTAGTATCACTTCACGTTGGTTATGAGTTTCCTTCAAGTGAGTCGGAGATCAAAAGTGGGAAAACCATGACAGTTGCTTACGAGTTCTATCATAGGCAGAAAAAGCACGCTACTGAGCATTCTTACGTAAACCCACAAATAACAGTGGCAGTAGCGGTGGGGGGCGGGGGGGGCGAAGGAGGGTGGTAAGAACCACAAAATAACACAAAAGATCAATTTCAAACTACCCCTGATGAGGGCTGGCATGTGCTGCCCAGTTTAGCGGCAAAGTCTATGCGAAGTGCCGGAAGGGCAAGGCCAACATCTGGAGCAGCCTGCAGACACAATCATCGGGCTGGCCTGGCCTGGCCTGGGACATTGAACACAGTCCACTTGATGATGCCACAGAAGTAGCACGGAGTCGAACAACAAGTGTCTCAAGCACAGCAGGCACACGACCTGTGTACGCTGCTGAGCAAGTGACTCACAACATTAAAATAAAGTAAAAACCATTAAAAAAACCCACAGTGGTATTATTTCGGGGGATTTGAAAAAAAAAGTTTTTTTGTACTTAAATACATCTGTTATTTAAGCACTCTGGAAAGAACAATTTGCTGAAGTACATCCTGTCTGATTCATAACTTTGCTATGTCAAATAAACCTTTTTTTTCGATAAACCATCTGTTGGAAGTTTATATAAATAACTACACGCATGCCTTAAACTCCTTTCAATGTCCAATGAAGCACCCGACTTTCAAACCACAGCTCTTAAAATGCCTATACGGTAGCATTTGTAATGTAAGATTTATTTTACGCAAAAACATGCTCGTGCTTTGTTAACAAATTAAAATATGCCCAGAGGAGAATTATTCCTGGCCAAATTACCCATAATAGGGACATGCTAAGTCTACTCTAATGCATCCTATAACCTGATACCCGGAGGCCTAAGGCAATGCCACTTCACTTACCCAATGGCCAGAGTGGCTAATGCCACTCCAATAACTACTGCACACCACATCAGCTAATGTACAAATGGATTATGAGCTGTGAATGACAAAGCTACAAAGGATTAGTCAATTCTCATTTGGCATATCTGTGCGGGTTATGTCACAAACGCTTCTACAGTTAAGTCATCATTGTATGAGCTATGCGAAATGCTTTATTATTTCATATTTATATTGTACAGATATCAGATTACATCTCATTGAGTCTAAAAATATTTGTTTCAAAGGAGACCTAAGACTACGAAGCAACCAAATGAAACTGCACAACACAACACTGATGTTGAATACCACAACTAATAAATATGTAATGCATTCAGCCAAACCACACCTTACTCGTACATTTGTGTAAGAAACATAAGCGTGCAGCGAGAGATTGTTGTCGAAACACGTGAAACGTGTTTTTTTTTTCAAAGGCACCGATGTTTCTCTGACATTGCATCGCACATCTGAAATCCTCCGCTCTTTACACCCAAACCAGATGTGGTCACGAAGCAGCAGCCACAAGTCGCGTGTCGCAGTTCGGTTTTAATGTCGTAAATTAGTCATGATAAAAGGATGGCTAGTTCATGTGTGACGTGATGGAAAGTAAAGCATCTTCATGCATCATTTATTGTATTCGGAGTGGAAACAGATCTGCTTATTTACCACCGCATTTTCAGCAGCCTTTGGCCGTGCGGGCCAAGACGCACACACAGTGTTTGCCTCTGATCTACGCTGCACGCCACAGGAACACAATGTTCTCTTGGCGGAGAGCCCGGGTACACGGGGTGGTTTTGTGGGGGGGTAAACAGGGAGGGGGGCCGGTGCGGTAGAGGGAGCCCAGAGCAGAGGCTCTATGTCGAAGGTCAATAATACGATGGTGGTGACGGATCGCAACACGGGCCAGAAAAACACAAACCGTGTTGACACTACGGGATATACAGTAGATCAAGAGCGCAGCCGGATAGCCATACTATAATTCTGACGGCTCCTTTGTGCACCGCAATGTCATCGCAACTCCACACGGCTGAATAACGTGGCGCTCTCATCCCGCCCCCTCCTCCTCCTCCTCTACCCTGTAGTATGTGACGGCTTGTGACTATTTAGGAGATTTGGCAAAATGCCAACCCCTGTGCTGCCTGGCGTAATGCCAAGCCACAAAATGCGATGCAATATACATTATGTAGCAGGCGTGCCACCTTCTTTTTGGCACTCACGCGTGCACTGAACTGCACTTGACTTTAAGGAATGTATTGTACAGTAACTCGATTCAATTAAAAAAGGAAACTTTGTCAATGGGAGATGCCAACGTGAGCTCGGCAAGAACTTTTGAAGGGCCTCAGAAATGACGCTCGGCTCTTGTGCTTGAATAACATGTGTTTCGCCTGACAAGTTGCGGAGCTTTGATCGACAACATTTGTTCGTGAAAGTGACAGATACTGCGAGTGTTTATTAAAGGGTTTGTTGTTGTTGTTATTGTTGTTTTACCTCTGTGTGCCTCCCTGTGATGCTCCAGACTGGATTCTTTGGTGAATGCGGCACCACACTGTTCGCAGGAGTAACTTTGCCCGTTTGCTAAAAACAAAACAAGGAAACAGTAAACATGCGGACGATTTAAATAAAAAGACAGCAACTGAAACACACCACCCACCATCATAAACAGTTTATGTGCACTTCACTGAGTTTCGAACACCCCAAAAAAAAAGATTTGATTATTTAATTATTTGTCCATTGTGGTTGTTACATTTGCACAAAGTAAGTGTTCTTACCACTTGAGTACAGTTGTGTTGTTAATATCTGCAGGGCTATAAGACTATGTATTGTAATGGAGAAAAAAAACAAACTCTCTGTGGTAGGGCAGGGTAGGAAAATGACCAGGCGTCAGTTAAAGGGAAATCATAAGTGGTACTGTGTTAAGGGAATTCATAAGCAGTGATGTTTTCAGGGAATGCATAAGGAATATTGTATTTTTTTTATTTAAAGCTTTCGTGACTGCAGGGATTCATATTCTTGGTTCTTTCGGTCAAGTCACGTAGCGATAGCACAGAATAAGGAGTATTGTGTTATAACCGTTTCCGTGACCTGTTCTCGAACACACGAGGCTTATTACACTGCTAAATGTGAGAGACCTGAATGGATTCTTCATCTCATGAGATAGCGAGAGCACAGCGAGGATAAAAATTCGGCGACAAAAACTCTAAACCATTTCTGTTGTTCACATTATTTCGTGGAGCCTATATCCAATGGGTTTTAAGTTTGGCATGGGTCAGTCACTGTACTCTGGAGGCCAGACCCCAAACCACCGTGGTTCCTAATTTTTTTGTATGCAGCAGCTGGATATGTTGCACTGCAAAAGTTTTTTTGTTATAAATTCAGTTCCTCATTTATTTCGCTAGCGCTAATGGCTTTGGCATCCCGTGACAAAAAGTGTACAGTATTGGACCTGCGCCCACGCAAGTGCACGAACACGTGCGTGCGTGCGTACATTCAGGAAAATAGATGATCAGGTCCTGCTGATGTTGTATAATGAGGGGAAAAAAGAATGCGTTTTTTTAAACAAATCTGATGAATTATAAATAGAAAACGGAAGTCGTACTAGAGTACTCGTAATGCGCGTGCAGTTAACATTTTTAATTATCAGACTTCAGCTCGAAACCAAAAAAATGGTAAGAGGAATAAATATGCTAAATGAATATAATTAACCTTTTTTTAAGTGTCACACCATGGGTAAACAATGAACACTGGGGGCCCTAATGCTGGAACGTGTTCACTGCAAAAGGTCACAGCACCTGAGCCAAACCTGACATGGCCTTTGTCCCAGCACATGCAAAATGTTCCGTGGCATTTTTCCCCCCTTCTTACACGCGCGTTGCACATTTGCACATGCGCATTTATTATATACACGGGGGGGGGGGTACTTTAATTCTCATGAAAATATGTACGCGAAATAATACGCAGCCGTCCTGTAAGTAACACCGCGATCAACACGTGCCGTGCGCCGACACGCAGGTTCAGCGAGGTTTAGATCAGGGAGTGTCGCCGATGATGGGTGGGTGGGTGATTGGTGGGCAGGGGGGGGGGGTTGTGGATGTTCAGGAATAGAAAGCGCCATCATCCGGTGTTTTCCAGAGCTGGAAAAAGGACAGCCGGGTTTCTCTCTCTGCTCTCTTAAACCAGGAGTGGTGCCATTCTGTAAACACCCAACCCTACACGTCCTACCCTAGGGGTTAGCATCTCCCCGCCCGCCAGGCATGAAGCAAGTCTGATCACTTACAAATCACCCGGTAACTCATACTCACGACTGAAAGCAGAGGAGGTGGTGTCAGGGGAGTATGTAAAAAAAACACAGTCCCAAGGACCTACGTTTAAAAGTAAATCTCAGTCCAACCGCATAAGGAATTCAAACATTTAAATTCTATTTTCACTTGGCCACACTGAGGCAATAAATAACATAGGACATGAATGTTTACATAATATATACCACATATCACAACGTGGTTATACAATGTTCCCTTAAATATACCTATTACGTGAAGCATGTACATTACAACACTCGTAATGGTTTACACCCTGTTATCAATCTACTGCTGAATGAAGACCCCCCCCCCCCCCATGGCCTTGTTCGTCACAGGAGGTTGTGAATTGGGAGGAGGTTGACACAAGACTGATTGAGATATCACCTTGCTGAGGTCAGCCAGGGCAGGGAATCGAACTCGGGTTGCTGGAATAACAGCGCAATTTAGCAGAATCTTAGAGCTCGACCCCAAAGCACCAATGTAAAAATGGGCATAGACCCTGAAACAATACGCCAGTAAAAAACCCACTAACGGAATGTACACAGTATATAAATAAACCTATTTGACTTGTGAACGCCAAACACACTTTTTTTGACCAACTCATTTAAAAAAAAAGCACACACAAACGCACCAGATCCTTTCGGCATCGTACGCATGCGCCGCTCCAGAATTAAAAGCCATTTGCGGCACTCACTCGTGGCAACATGACGTACAGCATACCATACCGTAGCGCACGGCATTACACTTCTTTCAGTGAATTGTAAACATGACCTGACAAAACTGTCAAAGGAGAATGTAACCGGGATGTAGCGAGGGCTTATAGCCAACTGTGAGCAATAAATAGTCCCCGAACACGTGGTAATGATCATTGGCTTGGGGTCTGGCCAAGCCTTTAGCCCAAAACACCACTCGTGTTACGTTAAATGGGGCCTCTTCCCATTCAGCCACCTGCGTACTTTAAGTTCTGGGTTACGGAAAGTTCTACGAGGTCCTGCCAATATTTGACTTCAAATTTGTTACCGATTCCCAATCCAATTTTGCCGTGCACTAAGTGGACCCCCCCCCCCCTCCCCCGTTTAAAAGCGTCCTTGCAGGAATGGCCGCATCTTTTGGCTGTTGAAAGTGGAGCTGTGCGCGCGTGTATTTGAAGGTCTACGTGTAAAGGGAATAAATGGTTTTAAACGGCAGGCTGCAACACAAGCTGCTATACGGTACATGTAAAATGATAGCATGCTACGGCCACTTTCCTGTGGTAATGTGTTTTTCTCCATCAGGAGTAGGCAAACCAGAGATCACATTTCCCCTGGCTGGAATTCCAAGCTACAAACACATCTCGAAACAAGTAACACTCTTCTTTGAACCTCAATTCTATATACCACATGTAGCAAGCTGAACAGAATGCCAACTCATTTTCAAACAGCAGCTTAAAATTACCTACTAAATCAAAGTGGGCACTAGAGAAATAATACATCAAAATGTAAATATGATTTTTTTTCTATCTGCCGCAGGATAAAAAAATCTAAACAATGTTAAATATCACTGTGAAATCTGTTAGCAGGGGCATAATTAAGGTCTATTTTTATCTTATGGATTCAAGCAAGCTCATTGCAACATGAAGGGGGCGTTTTTGATTTCGGAGAGTGGGAAAATGTTTTAATACCGTGCCACCGCACCACCCCATGTGCTGTGAACGCCACATGCCCTGCTGTGAACGCATGGTGCCTCTGCTGGTGCCTCTTTTGGTGTTCACGGGGCTAAGTCAGCCCATGCTCCCCAGCATACATGTCCAGCACTAGTGTAGCAGTTAGCGCGCTTTGAACCTGACGACCCGAGTTCGATTCGAGGCCAACACCAGTGACGATCTATCTGAACCGGTTCTGGGCCTCTCCTAGGTGGACTCAGCCTCAAATTAGTACCTGATGCGGTGTGTAAAAACAACGTCACTGGGGAGATATAGTGGCAGGGCGTGGTGCTGGCCACCCACCTGCCTGTGCTACTCGCTAACAGCACTTGCCCCAACGGTCTCTGTTAAGGTGAAACGGGGGGATCTTTATCTTTGCAGTAACACGTGCCTGACCAGAAGAAGGCCTCGACGATTTTTCTTACACGTGCTCCTCGACTCTTCATAATTGCGGCCTAGCTACGACAAAAGAAAATCCCTGTAACGCCCCCGAGGGATTTCTTGTATGTACGTCCTGTGCAGTCAGACTAACCCTGGCTCTTCCGGAGCCAGAGGGAAGCGGGATTATCGGCATGCAGATCTAACAACATCCTGAGCAGGTCAAAAAGCCCACGGGAAACTCTGAGAGGCAGCTGGCCTGTGATACAGTGTCAGTCCACTTTAGGTCACCCATGGCAGGTGCTCTAGGCCTTTAAGTTTCTTATTTGCGTGCGCGCATACTTTTGTTTGGGTTTTTATGAAGTACGGAACTACATTTTGCAACTTTATTTGTTTTTATCTGCAGTGAAATGGTGGGAGACCGGTTAAACGTTGTCAATAAAATTTGATGAAACTAATAACATTTAAGTACAAGATTTGTACGTAAGCATGTGTTTATTTTATGTATCCCGTACTGTTACACTTTTTCATACTCATGTGTTATTAAAACCTGTAAAAAGTACAAGGGTACTGTCAAAAAATCTAAATTCGAACCTAAAAAAATCTACTGATCTACAACAATTGAGATTTTGATAGAACGCCACAATTTATACCCCACTTAGGGAACACATGATTACCAATGGGGAAGGGGGGGAAAGTTACGATGTAAGGCATTTATGATGCAGTGCACCATGGTGGAATGTGGGTTGTGAAAGTCTAGATGCTGATTGATTGCTTCACCATTCCGGTGGATGATGATCTCACTTCTTCCTTTGGCCCATCGTTTATGCAGTCTTATAACAGATGTAAACAACAGCTGTCGACTACAACAAGTACTGTGGCACTGCCAGAAAGATATTAACGACCACCCTCCCGCGCGCACACACACACTTTTCGCCAATGAATATCTTTGTTTTTTTTTCGGTAAAGTCACGTAGGTAAAAAATTGAATGAAAGTGAAAACAACTAAATTAAATCACGACGTTTCGGGCGCAACACAAGCGTCCGTCTTCAGGTGGGGACATTTCTAATTTATAAAAAAATTTTACCTACATGACTTTACCGAAAAAAGCCTAAGAGTATATGGATCCTTGCAGTCACGAAAACTTCAAATCTAGAATGAATATCTCGTCAGTTTGGCGACTGATTTTTGCTTTCTTCTTCCGGCACTAAAAAAAAAGAGGACTGTAACGACATGTAATCACAGTACGGATGCGAATTTCACCGCACGAGAAAAACTTCCTGTCAATTGCTATCAACATGAGGGCAACGGTTACGATCCTCCATCACTTTAATACTAAACAATCCCGCCTACCATCCCCAACAAAACATGGTCAGACACGGTGTACAATTTAACACAATGCAACTGAAATTCTATTGTGTTCAGCCAGAGCAACACGCTGCTTTAAAAAATCGTATTTTGTTTGCCCAGAGTGATTGATATGAAGACTCAAAATCAGCAAGAGAGCTAAGACCATTCTGAATATGTGACCATTCAAAAAAAAAAGGCTTCCTTACTCATTTTACAGCAGGCAATGATTTAATAAAAATAAAATATGCCCTCTTATGAAAAGATATAAACAGTGTGACCCGATAATGTTGTACCCAGCCAATAGAAAGAAGGCAATGAGACGTATGTCAACAGGTGGAAGGCTTCGTAAGTGTCTCTGCCAGTTTCCTGTTCAAAGAGGTCATAAACAGAACACAAACCCAACTTTTAAATGGCACATGTGGTTATTGAGCAACTTTTCCTCCTTAGTGTGGGCCAAAGTGCATCCATCCCATTCCAAATTCCACACAGCTGCACGGGAGGCCAGTTTATTAGTGGCATGGTAAATATTATTCATCTTCTTACACACTCTGCACGGCTTTACAATAAAAAAAGTGGTAAACATCCACGGCAGGTCATCCTTGAAGCAAAGCTATAAAGGGGCGAGGAAATTCATCTGCAAAGGTAATAATGTTGTTGTACAGATGTGTGTGCCTTTGCTATTAAACAAGTGAGCTATTGTTTTGGAAGCCATCCTAAAACAAAGAGATTTCTAGGCTTACCAATAAATTATTTACGTTTAACGAGTACAATATAAATCCAACACAAAATTAAGCAGCCCATATAACCTACGTTTAAAAAAGAAAAAAAGCCTCATAACTCAAAAGTAAAAACTCAAAAAATGATCAGTAAACTATTTTTACAACTTTGCTACCGATGCAGACGAAATGGTAATAAAATGTTACAAAAACATTAAATTCATATGGAAACCCGATTCAGTTAGCCATATAAAGCGCAAAGCGGTCTGTTTTGAGATACATTTACATAACAGTTATGCTTTATCATGCAGATGTGCCCTGCCAAGCAGCGGTCCTACCAATAGCACATCGTGCAATGTCTGAATCAGCCGAGTGCTCGCCAATGAGGTCACTTTGACCTCCCAAACACTGCGTGTTTACTAAACCCTGGAACCTTCCTAGCCAGGCAGCCTGCCCGCCCACTTAACCAACAGCCAGTCAGTACAGTCAACAGAAAAAAAAATTCAGCTTGAGATGCTTGGCAGAGCAACTGAGCAATGAACCACCTTAGAAAACACATTATACTTAATACATGTACCAACTCTATTCTGTGCACCAATCTTGAAGTGATAACCCTTCAAATATTCACAAACAAACCGCAGGCAAAAGAATATAAATCGAAATAGTCGCTGGGATGTTTCCCCCCCCCCCTAATCCTTCAAGACATTTTGTACCGGACAAGTTATGGTGCCATGCAAAACAGTAATTAAATTTAATTAAAAACAAATAAAAATATGAATTGAAAAGGATAATTAAAAATTAAAAACTATCCTCCTTTGTCTAACATAAGTAATACGGGCGTACTGGATAAATAATGAGGATTTTTTCCCCCTTGCCAAATAAATTAATGGCAAAGATCAAGATTTGTTTTTTGTAAGACCGCAAACCCGTACACAGCTGCTTACATGCATTATGGCTGTATATCAACAAGTCCTTTATCTCTACCCACATTAATTACGTGCAACATCTCGGCACGAGTGAAGTGGCAAGTGAAATGAAGACCAGATCTGTTCTTTTTAAAGCTCGTAACATTGCTTGCTCCAGATCACGGTGACATGCATGTCAGGATGGCCTATTAGGCAGCATAGTTTCCCTTATAAGCGCGTGACTCGCTATTAACTCTCTCCCAGCACAAACTTTAGCACGCATTTTCAGAGCCAGCTTAAATTCAATCAGCATATAACCGACGACTATAAATACATAAATGTCTCAATATTCTGTGACTTGTAGTTAATCCAATAACACGTCTGTGCATAACCTTGAACCAACGATTAGAACATTTTTTTAGCAAAAATTATTTCTTGAACAATTTCATGAAACTGTCGCTTACTCAAATAATTATCATATTTGTCGAGGCCAGATACATTATGCAGAAGTAGCGACCTAATATCGTACATACGAGTGACTGGCATGTGAGCATTAACAGCTATTAAAGATAAAAAATGTACATGACTCGAGAAAAAACTGTGATAGAAATAAAGATATTGGATGATAAAGATCTAAGGCAACCATGGCAAGTTCCATGTGATTCAACTTTGGATGAAATAAGATGGGTATGATGATATTCTTTTTTTTGTAAAAGCAAAGTAGCACAACAAATTTCATATCGCAAATCATAGGCTAACATTATATCTGTTGCTCTGCAACACCATTAGCCATACAAAGAAGGAAAACGTAGGCTAACAGACTACATTTACGCAAGCTATAAATGTTTTTGTTACGCAAAGTTCGTACTTTGCATCCTTTGCTCACGCTGAGAAGCATGATCTGTGCCTGCAAAGTCACAGCGAATGGGTTAATCAATATTTCACAAGCTGTTCTCTCTTGCAGAGAAGGAAATGGGCAAGGGAAGGGGTAAAATGCACATGCTGTGAGCACTCCAGCTCAGCCAAGAACAAAGTGTACAGTAACACCAAAGAAATTACTGGAACATGACCAACAGGGCTTCAAAATGAAAGAGCATTGAAATAGAGGCGAGCGCGACACTGCAGATTGTGGTGGTATGCATTACAATTCCCACTGACAGCATGTACTGTTATAACGACCACACTAAACATGAATCATGGGCATGGGGGCCTTTCGTGAAGTCAAATTAATGTGTAAATAAATTAGCCCGTTATGTGGAAAGATCATACAGCTTTACATAAAAAAATAAAAACCCTTGTCGAGAAATAAAAACGCCTGTGCCATAATTTCAATACAAAACACTAATTTGTATGCACCCTCACACAGTATTAGAGATCTCCCTTAGGACTGTATGAATAAGGCATGCATTCAAAATCTAAATAAATGAAGGAGAAAAAACAACCCTCTATTTTCCCCTGGAATCAAGTTAAAGATCTGATATATTCATGGCATTTTGCGAGGGCTTGTGGCTGGCATGCGTCGTGGTATTGAGTGTTCGCCCAAGCAGCAGCAGCCGCCAGCATGTTTATTGGGTTAGTTATTTGTTTACGGGCGAGGAAACCAGTAAGTAATCCTTTGGCAGGGTACAGACTGTACATACTGTACCCTGCTGCTCTGGCAAGCTGCCCACTCCAGCTCTCGACAGCCGTATCCAAAACCCAGCATCACGTTCCAACGCACAGCCTGCAATAGGGGGCACCCTGCGCGGACGATAATTGCACACCGCCACCCTGGATGAATTTACTGGATCACTGTAGGAATTTAATGGCCCGGGGGGGGCAGCGGGGGGGAGGTGGTCATCGCTTGCCACATCTGTATCTCGTACACGCAGTCCTCTGGCGTGTCGGTTGCCCCAACCGTTCTAATGTGGCAGGCCGTGGTGGTGGTGGTGGCCGTGGCCGTGGTGGTGGCGGTGGCGTGGGGGCGGTTGGCGACTTTGCACACGCGTCGTGACGCACGATGCGCCGGCGCACGAGCCAATGCGCGGGTCGCGTTGTTTAGAGAAATGTGCCACTGGGAGGGGAGGGGGGAGGGAGGGGGCGGGAGGGGGCGAGGGAGGAGGGGAGGAGGGGGGGGAAGGGAGAGGGAGGGGGGAGGGAGGGAGGAGGGGGGAGGGGGGAGGGGGGAGGGGGGGAGGGAGGAGGGAGGGGGGGAGGGAGGAGGGAGGGGGGGAGGGAGGAGGGGGGGAGGGGAGGGAGGGGGGAGGGAGGGAGGGGGGGAGGGAGGGAGGGAGGGAAGGTGAGGGAGGGAGGGGAGGGAGGTGAGGGGAGGGAGGGGAGGTGAGGGGAGGGAGGGGAGGTGAGGGGAGGGAGGGGAGGTGAGGGGAGGGAGGGAGGGAGGGGAGGTGAGGGATGGAGGAAGGTGAGGTGAGGGGCGATGTGGAGAGGCGGGGGAGGAGTTTCGTGATGCGCCAGGTACCGGGCGGGCGGGGTTGCTGGGGCGGCCCGCGACAGCTGCGAAACGCAATGCAACCAAAGTGCCGGAGAGACCGCACCGGAATACACAAACTGTGGCACCGCAGTGTGCAGTGAAAGTGAGCGGACACCGGTGACCGATGTGGCTCTGCGCCTTGGCCACCGAATACGTACCAGAGCCCGGTTACAAAAGTTGCCGGATACCACGCCGCACACAACATCACCCCCCCATACCCCGTGAATGTCGCTCAAATGTGGCCAGGAGTCTCACCCGAATGAGACAGAAGATGCATGCGAAGGCGAAGGCTGTCCAAGAAGCGCTTGCCGCACAGATCGCAGGCGTAGCCCTTCTCCATGTGCAGCTTTCTGTGGGCACAGAACAAACAAAAAACAAATGGGAAGAGACGTGTGGATTTGTAGAAACTCTACGCATTTTTTTTAGTCATTGGTGAAATAACGTACAGAAATCCTTGCATGTTCATTTGTGTGTCAAGCCATTCTGCCGTTACTGCAGGGGTAAAAATTTGACTCAAGTTTCTGTCCTTAAAATAAAAAAAATCCCATCAAAATCATTGCACTCAAAAGCATAAAAGTCAAAATCCTAATTAAGCCCTCTTGCACACAAGTGTGGCTCTTGAGCATGTTAAAGTAGGCCAAGCTACCTCTTGAGGGGGCTTCTTAGAGCTCCCTCTAGTGTATGTATGTCGAACTCGATTTAAAGCTTTCGTGACTGCAGGGATTCATCTTCTTGGTTCTTTCGGTAAAGTCACGTAGAAGGGAAATAATAAAATAATAAAAATAAAACATAATAAAATAATTCTCACGACGTTTCGGCCACAACGCAAGCAGCCATCCTCAGGTGAAGAACAGGTCTGTCGGAAAGACAGCGTCATTCAGTCGGAAAGACAGTGTCATTCAGACGCTGTCTTTCCGAAAGACCTGTTCTTCACCTGAGGACGGCTGCTTGCGTTGTGGCCAAAACGTCGTGAGAATGATTTTATTATGTTTAATTTGTATTATTTCCCTTCTACGTGACTTTACCGAAAGAACCAAGAAGAGGCTCTTCTTGCCAGCATTGGCATCAGCAAACGACCATGAGAGGCCGCACCACCTACGTGAAACGTATCCAGGATCGAACGACACATCGTGGTGCAGGGGGTTAAACAGGTGCCGAGTGAAGTGAGGCAAAGTAACGTTACACACGATGTAGCATTCCACGCATCAATTCACAGCGACACAACCCTATCCCCGCCAGGTACTGCATTGTCCGACTCACGGTACAATGACGACCGTGCAATATAAGTCATTTCTAATTATTAAGCATAAGAGAAAATTCACGGTGCCTTGTGGGCATATTAGTGAAATTAAACTATGCTAATTCAGTCCCTCAGTGACAGAAATCCATTTGCGGCTCGGGGAAGTTATTACGAGAATGTTCGTCGGTCCAAAAAAAAAGGAAAGAGAGAAAAACATACGGGGGGGTGGGGGGGCTCATACAGTATGGCATGTTCCAGGTCAGTGAGCAGCTTTCAACAAGAGCTTAACGCGACTCTGAATGGCAGGCTGCAAAACAAAACCGCATTGGTGTGTCGAGCAGCAGGCATGCATTATTAATCTGACTGCACAACCCATTCTATTCCTATTTATATGGCGCACTATAAATTTTGAAATCTACAGCATGGACACCGGGAGTGAGATGGGGAGGAACAAAAACGTTAAGATATTTAAACAAAAATATGCGCCTCATCTTTGGAGCTCAGGAGACGGAAATAATTTGAGTTTTTTGTGCAAACCAGGTGAAAGGGGAGGCGATTGAGTATTAATGTACGCGCATGCAAATGCGCGTCGTCCCTGCGAAGAACATAATTTAATATGTAGGATACATGATTTAAGCAGTGTTCGTACACGCAGTGTTTGCATTTGCGAAAAAAAATATCTCAGACTCCGGTTGGAAACATGTCCAAACGTTAAACACAAAAGCATTTTGTAGGAAAATGACCTCTGTCACAGAGGCTTAAGTTGTCCATTTTAACCATGGCTTCAACAAGCTACACTACACACTTCTGTTACAAAGTGGCGGGAAAAGGCAAAGGAAATGAAAAAGCAAAAGGAATGGAAATATGCTTATGGCGCCTGCAAAACAAACAATTTTGTTGATCAATTGTCCATTAAACCGAACTTGCCCCGTACACAGCTATAAATAAACGTTGTTTATGTATCTGGCAACATAACATGCTTGTAAACCAAATGGTCATTAATAACAAGTCTTCGGCCATCCCAATGAATAGCAACTATGTCACAATACCAAATGTTCAATTTACTTTCAGCGCAAAAAAAAACATTTCTTTTTTTTTCTCAAGACTTTGTAAACTGGAATGCCTTTATTTCATATCTCCCTGGATTCCGGGTAAATATTTGTATTTTTTGGGAAAGAAACGACAGCCTCGACTACAGTGCAGTCAACAAGATCCAAATCTTGTGGGTTTTCAGCTGCAAACCACACTTGCAAAGAACAGTGTGGGACGCCACAATTCCACATTCCACTGCAAAAATACAATGAACACATTCTTTACGAAGCATCTGTAATAATTTATACATTCTCTGCCCCCCCCCCTTCATAACAATATTAGTTTCCCAACGATAGTTTTGTCTGTGATGTTGCAAATGGCACGCAAAAAGAAAAGGACAATACATTTTGGTTTAAAAGTTTACGAGTGCCTGAAATAAGCTTCTCACAACTTAAGATTAAGACGACTCAAAAGTTCAACAAAATTAACATGTCACTCAATTTAAAGCTTCGTTAATTCACCGCATGGAAAGGATTGCCATGGCAAACACTGTTGCACTAAACATTGCAGTTAAAGATACATTCAAGTTCAGGATTAATAGAATTAGTTTTCAAGCTACTAAGAACATTTACACAAAAGACAACAACCAAGACTAAGGTGCGAGTTCAGTAAGTCTTATTGACTGTATAGTATATATTAAAGCCTGCATATCATACAAGGGTAGTGATGTGATTACCACACCACACAAAGCCTTAGACTATTAACGCACTACAACAGGTAATAATAAACTTAGGCAGAGTTGGCCGAAGAAAGTGCCAGACCAGGATGACATACTTCTTGGCACTCAAGATTAAGGCCCAAGAATCGTATCGTAGGACAGAAGATAAGCACTGCATCATCTTGCCACACATTCACAAGTACATTTTACTTGGGGAAAAGACTATTGTTGATAACATAACATTTTAAATATTCACAGCCTCAGATGCTTTGATTTATATTGCGATTCAGGAAACACGAACATCAATGCACATTCTATTAAATGGCTTCTGTACAGAATGCTACAAAATGAAATAAATTTAACACTGGGTGGATGCGACTTCTTTCCTTTACGTCAAATTTCTCAAAACCTTTTTTTAGCACGTGTCTTACATATACACTGTATAACGCCAACCTGTAAAAAAAACAGGTAGCAGTTGCTAGAAGTCGTGAGCCTGAGAACATTTTCTCTGGAACGTATGGCATTCCATTCATGGTGCTCGCAAAAAAGTTCAGACTTCATTGTTGCTTGCCCACAAGCGTTATTAACACATTACCCTTGCTCAACGCTCGCAGGGAAGTGATGTGTTACTGGCACCAATGAGGTGGAATAGACCGCAATTTACAGGACCAGCGCAACAACAACAAAATCTAGGGAACTATGAGAAGATCAAAATGTTCATAAAAAATTAAGTAAAAATACTGGAGCCTTTATTCGAGGCACTTATTTATGGTACCGATCTTCTGTAATTTTAGTGGTGGAAATATGTAACGGCTGATTGCACGAGTTTATGAAACGTAAGCTTGGCGAGTTGATAAATGTATATATTCATTTGACATTGTTTACACAATTGAGGTTGGCTGCTTAGGCATCCAGTGTAAGCATATTTCCACGTGAAAATGTAGACTACTTTAGCAAAGATTTAAGATCCGTATCGGTTGCCAACAGGAAAGGAGTTAATCGTGTTCATCTGCCCGGCATAACCGTCAAATTTTGCGCTACACTAAACCCAGCGCGCTGTATAGCAGGAAAGTTTATGCCACCCAAAGCCTGGACGTGTTGTTGAATGGGTGCATTGCACCCACCACACACAAGTCTGCGGTGAACCAAGCGATGTTGGCCAAAGGGCACATGGGCAACAACCGTCTGACCACTGGCGGCGTGGTGCAGGGGACCACACGTTATGGGAAACTATCTCACCCCAACTTTGCAATAGCCTCAGCCACACCTACGCCGTCTGCGGGGATCCGTACGCAGAAATTTGAGATGTGGACCGTGCTGCAAATTCTCATGCAAATCCACATCGGTGTGAGATTTGCCTTCAGAATTTTTCTATCGATGAGCAATTTTTTTTATTTACATGTACGTGTATTCTTGTGGGTTTTATTTTTGTAAAATAGAAAGTTATCAAAGCAAACTTCAATGCTAAAAATGGTGAATGGAAAATTGCATTAGCAGGTTATGGCAATGTGGTTTGCGATACATCTGCAAGATTAAATTGGAGGGGAAAAAACAATGTGGGCATTAGCTTCAGACCGTCAACACTTTTTAGTGCTTAGCTTCAGAACCAAATGTGCCCACAAAATTACAGCATAATTTTCGTACATGAAAACCCATGGGTAACTTTAATTGCTTTCTTCACACCACTGCAGTCTGCGCTCTCCTTCCACGAAGGAATAGCTTAACGACACAAACTTTCTCCTAAAGCCCTCTCATGGCTAGCAGGCCTCGACATTGGCAATCATCTCCTGAATATATTGTCATATGCAAGAATACAATAAGAATTGCTTCCGATAAGCAAAATAAATCAATGCCCTTGTTATGTTTGACAAACCTCAAAAACACTTTTAAATGGTGTGAAATGCTTTGGAAAGAAGCGGAGGCATTCGCAAGAACAGAATTATCGATCATTTGCTGTTTTGTATTAAATTGACAAGAAGTTACTACTGCAATGCAGCCACCAAAAAGACCACACAGAACAATAAGAACAGTTACCCACAATACCACAGTGCTAATAAGGAACAATGCAGCTACTTTTAAGGCCACAAAACGGGCACAAACTACACCACACAATTGCCAACTACGTACTGTTATTTAACTTTGTTGATCAGATTTGGATTTTTCCCCCTTATGGTCTAATATGTACACATTTTATGGTAAGCCACAACTTCAATACCACACGTGAAAAAAAACTGATATCAGTTTTAAACAAAACACACTGTTTTGACAAAGCACATAAGAGCTGACAAGCAAGTACGGTCATTTTTTTACGATTAGATGCATTACAGAAGTCAGTTGGGAGTGTTTTTTGGCAAAAAATATGTATAAATAGCCTTTCTTCATACTACATTAGTCAGCGAAGACTCAAATAACATTTTAGAGATTCCGTAAGTTATTTATTTTGGTGTCAAGATATTCAGCAGGTTCTGCCAATGTAAAAACTTTTTCACGGATGGAGCCTGCGGAGATTAGGGTATCACTAATTTGTAAAAGGGCAAGTTTTGTAGAAGCATGTGGTCACCATCAGTCCATATAATCGTTCATGGGCACATAAAATTAGATATAAAACATACGCCACATGTAAAAAAAAGTGTTTTTGCCAGTTGAAACAAAATTCATGAGTCACTGCTACTAAACCGTGTACAGAGGGTGGGGGTTCCATGAACTGCCGTGACTTTTCAAACGCCGACATTAAAGCGCACGCAGTAGTTGCCCCGATGACCAATTGCCCGGGGCTTCTCTGGTGATTTTATTCGGACCCAAAAAGAAACCTTACTCGCCCGCACCAATTGCTCAATTTTATTTTGCGTGCAAACGTACACAAAAAAAAGAGCGTCCCCCCCCCCAAATAAGCACACACCTTCCGTTAATTAATTACCCTTTTTGCAATTTACAGGAGGGCTTGCCTCTCGCAGGTGTTGTCCATTAAGACGTTTTAGCTTGGGCCATGCACGGTCATTTGGAGACCTTGAGAGGAGCTCTTTGCAAACGAAGAGGCAAAGATACACTTGATTACAGCCCTTTAATGGCTCTACAGTGAACCTTTGGAGATCACCTCTGACCTTGCCACTGATAAGCAGCCAGTTAAATGAATGGCACTACAGTGTAGTCCCAGGGAGACAAATGACCCAGCAGATTTCTTCCATTGTTCTCCACGTGACCTCCAATCACAAAAATGCCAACTTGCAGTCTACAACACCAGTGATTGTTTTTTTCCATCCATATAATTACGGTACTACAATGGCGAGGGACATTCTTTACAGGCAAAATGTTGCAGCGTGCTTTCTACACTTGTACACAAGCCATTGAAATATCCTATAAAAAAGAGTTCTTTAACGTCATTTTTTTTACCAGTATCTTGAATGAAAAGAGGAAATTGCATGCAAAACCATGCGATAGAACCATTCCTAACAAACAAAAAACCTGTTCTACACAACAGATGGTGCTAACGGTCCTATTTAAAATCCACGCATATAAAATGCATTTGATTTAATATACTATTTGAAATACTGTGTCTAAATACATTTTATATATGCAAAAAGTGCATTGCCATATGGGTACATTGGGAAATCATTGCCTAGCTTCAATTGCTAGCCACGGTAAACTTATACCAAGATGAATTATCCACAAAATGAATGAAAAGTGCAAGTCAATTGCTGCTTCCTCAGCCTCCGTGTATAAAGTCCATTATAAGTGTTTCAATGGATTGTCATCTTCATTTAAGAACTACAAATATGCCAAAATATTTTATTACATTTGCATCAACGATTATTTGTTCATTCTAGTTACGGACAAATTACCTCGAATTTAGAAGGCATACAGAAAATGCACCCAGATTGTATTCATCAAAATATCATGACTTAAAAGTTATTTAGTAACACTACATTAAACAGTTCTCCAAGGGCATAACACTTTTTCCTGAACACCTTGCGCAACATTTTATTGACTACCAACTGTGACTATGCGGCACAATGTTGCACCTGCAACATTAAAAAATGTGAAGTAAAATCAGCTTCAAGCATTACCAGGTCCCTACAAAAGTGTTTATCTGGCAAGTAAACACAAGTGATAATGGCTCTATCTGTGCCCTTTCAACCCGTCCGCCCAGTCCCTAACCCATTACTCAAACGTTATCTGTTACGGGCAAACACGGCCACCATCCAACACCAGTACTAGTCACCAAGGCTTCTGCAAATACCAAAAGTTTAACTCTGGCACATTTGGCCAACGGAAAGCATGTCGCATATATAGGGTATGAAAAAATAAGAATAGGTTTTACACTTTCTGGCAATAAAACAGATGTTAAGATGTTCAAACACCAAATAGAAACCTTTTTCATGGAATCACGTCTGCATTATCCACACGTACTTGTGGTGAACATGCAAACAAAAACATGCTCTAATAATATATGCATTGTCTATGGAACTGATTGGTGTACACCAGACGGACTTTCTTTAGGGCCTAAACAAGTCTAGGGTACTTGCGTTTCCATCGTGTGTCTCGCCACGCTGGTCAGTCTCAGCAGGAAGCTCATCACTATATCGTTCCGACTCAGCACTGTTACCTAATATCTGAGCATTTTTTTGTGGAAGGTGAACACAGAGGTCCTTCTCAGGGGCTTCTTTAAAATGTGTCACACTGCAGTGGAAGATTATGCATCACTCAACAAGTCTGTGACCAATACCAACTACCATAGCTGTATTTGTACGTGAAAGAGGGTAAAATAAAACAGTACAATTTACTCTGATATATAAATGCGGGTGGTTTGTATTAAAAATGTGTACAACCCATACCTAATGTGACCTACCCAAGTGACAAACTCACAGCCTCATATTTACCACAACAATGTAGTCTTTTTATCCCCAAGTATATGAGAATTGATAAAAGGTATTGACATGGACACCACAAAACTAGAATACAAATCATAATTGCTTCTCAAGTAATACAAAACCCACTCACGTATCACACCGACGGAACAACTGGCACGCCAAGCCAATTAGGGGCCAAAAATGAGATGCGAGTAAGATAAGTGTGGGTTCAATGTGCCCGCTTGTGAATTCAAAACGTGCCAAAGTGAGAAAATGTGCTGCAGTTAAAACCTAAACTCAATGACTGTATGAATGACAGTTAATAGTCCGTTAACATTCTGTCTTCGAGCATGTACAGCTGAAAGCTATGGATGATGCATCTAAACAAATTTGGAGCCAGTTTAGCTATGAGCTGGCATACACTCCGAGTGCAAAATTCCAGATGAGGATTCGTACCAGCTGGATTTTGGCCACTCGTACAAACATGCCTTGTGCACGATGCGTGCTCATGGAAACTAGCTTGCACACAGTGGCTTTGCCAAGCCAAGTTTTAGTTTAGTTTACGCCGTCATAAATGTTGCTGTTTTTCAAACCTGTGCTCCCACAGGCTCTCTCGACTTGAGAAGGAAACATTGCATATGTCACACTTCTCCTCTCCGGGAGCTGACGAGGAACCAGAGGGAAGGTAGAGCTGCATGGCTGACTGGTCTGCTCTCAGCGCAGAGCTCATCTCTCCCAGGCGGCTGGCAAGCTCTTGGGCCTGGATGAGACAATGACAGAAACATGTAATGAATTTAAAGAGTGTTCCACCGAATAACCAGAAGTGCAACAATGCATCAATTTGTTTGTAGGAACCGATTACGAATGCTCAAGATAAGCGCATTAAAATCACGAGTCAAAATAACGGTATGGCCAAAACTAAAACAATTCACCAAAAATAAGCCAATAAAATTAATCGTAAAACAAAAAAGCAACCCAGCATCATGACAATTCGCAAAATGCTAGGATGAATAGTTACACACCTTCCGTTTAAAAATAATCATTTTAAATAGTGGTATCACCATAATACAAATCATGTACGAACACAGGTCCACACAATCAACTGTCCAATGCATTTACAAGAGAAAATTTTCGCGAGCGGTTAAACTTCACACTGAACTGCCGAAGCCACGTGCACACGTGCCTAGGGCCTGCTATCGCTGCAGGTGGTTTTTCGCAGGTGAGCTTCACAAGCAGCGCACAATGCAATGAACACCTCTTTGCAATCTTAAATCCCTCGATCAGCTACGAAGCTCCTCAGTGGCGGTGTGCACCAACTTGAGCGAGGTGAAGAAGTCAATGACATCCTCAGGGCAGAACAGGTGCTATTTTTCAGTTAATTTGGCACAATGATCTGCTCCCATTGGTGAGTTGTGAAGACAATTGAAGTTCAAAACCCCGAGGGTCGTCTTCTTATGCTGGGAATTCATAGGCTTGCCGACACGCCCCCACACTGGCGCCTTGCTACCGTATTTTAAAGCTGAAATTGGGAATATATCTGAAACAGTTATATTCCCCCACCCCAAAAAAGTGGTCCCGATAACGTACCGTTAATTCAAACTATTCCCTCAATGTCTGCGGACCGACGCCACCGCGGCACGAATATATATTTGCGAGTGCAGCACGCAGTTAATTTACAAAAGGAGAAAATTTGCGCTAAAGCCAACGATTAAGTCTTCACCTGCTCTTGCAATCGGAGGTCACACCGCGTTATCGCACGAGCACAACACAGTTGGCGAGGGCCCGGTGCACGAGGAGTGCGAAAGGCCACACAAACCTGGAAGGCTCGCTGCTGCTGCTGCTGGTGCTGGTGTTGCTGATGCAGTGCGAGGGGGTAAAGACCAGAGCCCAGAGCGCCCAGCATGTGCATGTTGTAGATGAGCGCGGGGTCCATCAGCTCCAGTCGCGTAGCCTCCCGGCTGACCCGATGCTAGAGTGGAAAAGCATTAGCGCGTGTTAATTTACCCGCTTAAAAACCACACAATGGGCAGAGTCTTAACCTTTGTCTGCATGAATGCTACCGCGGCTTAAACTAGTGGAATAATTTCCACAAGCAAATGATCGTTAAAAGGTCTTGATATAATTAGGAATGGACCTTTGGCTCACAATATGTATGACCCACCCATGACTGAAAATACATTTATGTACAATGAGTATTCTACGAAAGTGCCTTTTACTGATATTGTCGCTACATTATTGAAAAGCTCGCAAGGCATGTCCTGAGCTGAAGCAAAGGAAAATGGGTCGTTTCAGTGGCCAGATTTGTGTTGTTTAATATCCCATCTTTTTGGACTGAAGGCATCACTGAGATTATTGCTCAGCTTTATTCAAAATGTGGATCTGGTAACAGGGAAGGCTAACATGCCACTACACACATTTACTTCGACAGTAGGACATTTTTTAACATTTGTTTACATCCTCCATATAACAGAATGCATTGGACCAATCATGGTGGAAATTACACAAACGAAAACCTATTTTTTTTTAACACACATTACAGCTAACAGGCAAACACCAAGGTAGTTATTGTGAATGACAAGATAATGTGCAAAACTGAGGTGCACCTACCAATCAGGACCTTATTGTAAAAAAGCCATATATAAAAAAAAAGGTTTTACACGTTCTTCCAATAATACAGGTGTTAAGATGTTCAAACACCAAAGACACTTATTACATGGCATCAAGTTTGCAATATAATGGCTCCATAGATAAGCCATATATGTATTTAAGAGGTCATTGTGTATTATAGACTGCTCATATTAAAATCTAGATGTATACAAGCGTCATAGATAAAAGAATGAACAGGCAGTCCATTCAATAATGCTCTTAGTTGTTCTTAGTGTTTTATTAACAGAGTAAACATATATGGGAAATGAGACCTCCACAGGAAATAGAGGTCAGTCAATATTTATATTGGACGTTGTATAAATGTGCAGTCATGATGGACAACCGTCAAAAACGACGGCCAAATTTTGTCAGCATAAATTGATATTCCAGGCGACATTTTCAGCTGCATATTCAATTAACATTCGGTAAGGCATACGAAGGTAATATGCATGGATAAATGACTTATTATAATGCGGTGCACTTCCAGTCTTACAGCAATATAATTACGGGAAAAATGTCATTGTGACGGCTTTATAAAAATAGCCAAGATTAACTCCCTAAAAGCTGTCATTCCAGACGCACAGCTCTCAGAATGACAAATCAGCAAAAAAACATGCTTGGGACCTGACATATCTGGGTTAAAACCTGATGTCCATATACTTAATCCTAGCGAGATGAAAATTTAAGTGATCACAAATTATAAAAATTGCATTAATAGATTAGTTTTTTTTATGTCACGACGTGTTAAATGTTTTATATTCATGTGATGTCTAGCACAGCTAGCTCAACGGAAATGCAAGATCTACCATGAAGCAATGTGATGTATATACAAAACGTTTACATGTTACAAATATATTTCTTAAACACTGCATTTTGTTTCCTAATAAAGCACTCCCGATTTGGAATTTCTAAATCGTAAAGTAGGATGACAGCTGTAGTTAAAAAAAAACTATCTCTTTCCCCTACTTCTCCCATCTCTCTGGGCACGCGTATCACCATTAATCGCAACACCTACGTAAGGAGTGTGGCCCTCGATCTCAACATTTGAAGCAACTTCCGGGGGAGACACCATGGCTTCCTCGTCGGAGTCGAGCGGCTGCCGCATCACCACATCTTCGGGGTCGTCCTGCGACGAGTGGCGGTGAAGGTCGCGAGCGCTGGTGATCACGCTGCCTCTTGTGGGTGTCCCGGGCGCCTCCTCCACCTCAGAGCCCGACCTCTCCTGCCTCTCTTCCATCGACTCTTGCCGTGTTGCTACGGAGGCCTGGTTCCCATCCTGCTACCGAAAAGCCACCAGGCCGGTCATTTGTCACGCGTCTTTTAAAATATATACACACTGCGAAAACCAAGCCAGGCTCGGCGTTTCGCTTCTGCAGTGGCAATAATAACCAAGCACTGTTGGTCAAACAAATATTTGAACGCTTAATCAGAAATTTATCATTAAAATGCTGTCAAATATTTATTTGAATGAAATAATGGCTTACATACCACACAATTATAATTAAAGTCAATTTTCATTTGCAAAATGTCCGTGTTTTGCCATGTGATCGGAACATGAGTACAAAAAATAACTGTACAATGAAGTAATTTTATATTTTATATTAGCGCAACTAGCCTGACTTGAATATTAACGCTCGGTTAATGCTCGCCTTTGCAAAGTGACGCGTCAAATTCTCACCAATTAAAATAGACAATAATTTGGCAAAGCAATCCTATGTCACCTCACTTAGCCAAGTGAGTAACTGTTTGTACATCAATGTAAAATCACACATTAGCAGAAGGTTCTGCATTTAAAGAAGCAAGTATAGGTCGGGGTGGAACAAAAAGACATACCGCGCCTGAGGTTTCCATTTGGCTCGAACCTCCAAGGTGCTGGCCAGCAACAAGCGAATGTCGCAGGCTCATGAGGCTGTCCACGGCGACTCGTCGGGGGCTCAGCGAGAAGCAGCCGGCTTGCAAGCCTGCCGCTTGGGCCTCTGTCAGGCGATGCTGCTCCCCTAGCATAGCGGCCATCATTTCCAGCGCGTGATGGGAAGGCGCTCTGAGATAGAGGCCCGAAGGGTCCTCCCTACCCCGGGCTGCCTCCAGCTCACCCCTGCTCAACTTCTGCGACGAGCACGCCAGGTCCTGAGGCATGGAACCTTCGTCGGCGATGACCTCTGTAACCACAGCCTTTGCTGCCTTCTCCTGCAATCTCAGAAAAATGCCATTTTTGTGGCGATCTTCATGGGTGTCCTCCCGATATCTGGAGAAGCTACTGCTTCGTCCCTGCTCTCTTACCGTCACAGCCTCTTCGTCGGCATTCGACGGTCTGAGATACAAACTGGGATCGCTATTGGTACGGTCTATGGACCTCTGAGGCCCATCCTCGCCGACAGAATAAGCCGATTCGAAAGCACTGTTCTCGACCTGCTCTGGTGCCATGGACTCTTCGGACTGAATGCCTTCGAGGCTGTGAGAAGGCACAGCAGCGTCCGCGTTATCAGTCGACAGTGAACCTTCACTGAGTCGGTGTGTTGCACTTCTTGACGTTCTCGAGTAGAGTTTCTTGCGGCCCCCAACACCAGGCAGCCTCGCCTCAGTTGCTATCTGCAAAGCAGCTTGCGATGTTCTTGGGTACAAATCACGATGTGAATGTTCCGCCACAGAGACCCCAGCCACAGTGTGTTGCAGATAGACACCGTGTGGCATTCTGGCAGTGTCACCGTGCTCACGAATGTTGGCACCACTTTGGTGTCCTTCATCTTCCGTAACCTCTGACTCATTGCCCTCTGAACCCTGCAGGCCCTCAAGGAGTTTTAAACACTGTTCTTCTAAGTACTCAATCTCTAATATCTCAGCCGCATATAGGAGATCGTCCAGATCTTCTGGCCGAACCTCCAATGTTGATGTATACATATACTCCAGCACCTGAGGAGGCAATGACAGAAAAATATTAACCATATACCTAGACATAATAGATTTATGAATACGTTGTGTTCATTTGGGGTCACTTATGAGAATTGCTGTTAAAACGATTATTAATAATTTAGAGAAAATGTCAAAATCTGTATTATTTTGAGGTTATAATGGCTCAAATCTCATCACTTATTAAGTACCTTTTGAATGAACAAAAAATGTAACAAATGTACACGGTGCATATTAAGCATGGATTTTTTTTCCCAACATCAATAACAAAAGGAAATATCCTGTGATTAATTAATTAAAAAATGTAATTAACAAACAAAACATTTTATATTCCCCATGCTTTTTTCCCACAAGGCCCACTATTCATTTACATCCGACGACTCAGCCGCATAGAGGTTCAGGGCCATCACAGCTGGCCACGCCCACACTCTGCCCCTTACCTGCGCGAAAGTGCGAGGCGAGAGAAAGTCCAAAGTGTAGCGCGTAGTATCGCCACGCTGACCAAACAGCAGCTCAAACATCTTGCTGGCCGCCGCCAGGACGGCGCGATGGGCCGGGAACTGCTGCCCGTCCACCTGGATGACGACGTCGCACAGCGTGCCGGCTTGCCGCAGCTGGTTTGCCCGGTGAAGCATGGCCCCTGGGTGCGAGGGGTTCACCAGCCGGATGGCCACCGGGGCGTCCGGCACGTTCATCGTGAACGTGCGTTGGACGGCCACGGCACTGTTGCTCCTGCTAGCCTGAAAGAAATGTACTCGTCTCGAAATTCTTTCGTCCGTTCGCTCATTACCGCCCCTTAAGCCAAAAATTGGCCACTCTGCAGAATGGTAATAATTGCATGCCAATGTTCAAGCATTCTTCTGTACTCCATTTTTTAAAATAAAATTGCAGTTCATAATTTGCGTGCATGACTGAACACTGATTACATTTATCCGTGTTTTTTCCCTCCCAAAAAACTAAACTAGGAGTCAGCCATCAAGTTAAACAGAATAAATTATTGTAGTCATTTCATACAGAATATAGTCAAGATCCATCTAAAGCCCGTATCCTCTGTGTAGTCCTTCTTGTGAAAGCATAATCCTCGCTAATCTATGTCTGAAGACAAAAAAAGCCCTTTACAAAACAGTGCCAAACCGGTTTTAAAATGACATACAATGCAAGCCTGTACAACAGGCTTGGCTTCCGTTCCTTAAACATCACCCATGTCATTCTTAGAAGCAACACGATGCGTACCCTAAAAAAAAATGCAACACTTCACTGCAGTGGCATTTAACCGGTCTTTTGGCAAGAAGTGAAACTGGAAAGTATGCAAAGTCCCTAACGTTTCCTACGTACGAGTAGCCTTAAAGTCGTTACTTTTGCTGAATACCGGGTGGGTGCTGAAATATTCCCTTCGCCGTGAGAGGTCGTACGCCGCTGCGTTGCCCGCTACCAACTCCTCCTCTGCGCGAATATCAAGCTGCACATTCCTACTCCAGAGGATCGGTTGACTGTGACTGCGTTCCAGCGATCAAGAGCCACACTCTGCCCCTCCACATGGGAACTCACTGTACTGTAAACAGTGCCAGCCTGCCTATAAATAGCCTGACATACTTCCAGCAATGACGCAAGGCGTGTTTATACAGCGCTCCCTGCCCGTACCGGCTGGTTGAATGCAATGTAAGTAACTCTCATGGAACACAGCCTGCCCTTGTGATCATCATATTGGGTGGCATGCATAACAAAACTGTCCCATCTAATTTAATCATTTCAAAATGAGCAGCAAAAAGGGCTTTTGTTCGTAACTTAGCTCATAATTGTTGTTCAAAACGGTTTAACAGAACGCAAGCAACAAATCAAACTACCACTTGCAATTGGCATTCCAACAAAAAAAATACTTTATACAACAAAAAAACCAGCTATCCGTAAATTATTAAAATCGCCATTCAAATGTGTGTGCATTAAAAAAAACGTGCGACACACGTGGCACAGTTGATTAAATGTTTGCAAATATCATGTCTAATAAAACGAGAACATCTAAGGAGGATTTTCTTCTTCTTTGGGTTTCTTAAAACACTCCAGCACTGAATGGCTACAGAGTAATGGTTCCTTTTGGAGCTCATTAACTGCTGTGCATTGGAACTCAATGCATTTGCCCACGAGAGCGCACAGCAGCTGTTTTGTTATTTAGATGTAAAACAGCATGCTGCCAAAAGAAACAAGGTCGAGTTTTAAGAGAAGCATGCCAATAAAACATTTTTAAAAAGCTTTCGCTATCAGAATCTACCCGCCTCTCTCCAGTTAGCCCGTTTGGTATGTGGCAACCTTACACACCATCCACTAGCTGCATACATAAACGTGCTCAGTAAATGTGCAGGAGACAGGCTTAAACCCAGAACTCTTTCAGCAGGGTCTTGTATGGAATGTGTGACTGAATGCTTCATTTCAAACACAAACGTATGAAATTTATCTCAACGCTTGTTTTTCTCCAATATAAATAGCAACTCTCGTTGAACTGCAGTCCCGATGCTGTGCAAACAGCCACCACACAAACGCTGGCCATGGAAATGTGTACCCAAACAGTAAAGAAAGGCGAGCGTTAGCCATCCTTTTAGACATTGTTCTGAAAATCGAAGCAATACCAACATGAATTGCACCACTGTAAAGCCACGAAACCCACGGACAATTATTTTGCCTTAAGCCACTAAAAAGCCTAAACACATCTCTTATAGAGGAAATTAATGAAAATGCACACTAAATTTTCACAAATTGCTTTACGTCAAGTGCAGCCTGGACAGCCATCTAATGAAAATTGGAGAAAATGTTCATGGAATACTGTATATCACGGCTGATGATAAACGACATGCAGAGCATACGCAAGTAATTCAATACTATCAGTATTACTATAATCAGCAATGACATCTCGGCCCACGTGATTCCATTGTCTCATACCGCTGCACAAAAGCAGTCAGCTGCTGCTTTATTGGAGAGGTTATTTCATTTTAAAAGCATTCCTTCTTTAATAACACCAACAACAATGATGTGTGTTCCATCCATAACACGCCATCGCAACTACATCATCCCCCAAAACATTGTCCACTCACAAACCTGACCTTTTAAATGCTCTTTAAACATTATGGTCCGAACGTCACAAAATATGTGTGGTACACGGAGTATAAATACATGCTGGTCGGGTATTAAAACCACGTCCAATTTCGGCATGCTGCCCTTTATAAAAAGGCGACCTGGACACATGATGTAAAAGTTAATAGCGCAAGAATTGATAGTGGGGGAATGTTAGGGGGGGGTGGGGTGAATGTGTTTTGGTGGGAAAAGGGAGGGTTCACTTCTATTGTGTTTTAAATGCCTGTGCCCTGTTCATACAAAAGCGTGGTCGCCGAGGTGCCAACGGTACATGTCCATGTGTTAGACAGTGAACAACACAAGGTACCACATGGCACACTGCTGCCACACGTTTTCACCCACGTGCATCAGTGGGGTAAGCAAACAGGGCCCCCCATTCAGATTTAATTTTATCATCAGCACAATAAAGAAGCTGGGCAAGCTCCAGTGAGTCGTGTACTCCTCTTGCGCGAGGAATAACAAGAGCTGAGAATATTAAGATCCAGAGGTAGCAAATAAACACAATATTGTCGCACCGTTGGGGCTATTTAGATGTCAGAAAGTAGTGTACTCCACTGTGTTATAATAAGGAATTGTTGGCAACGTGAAGATCTAGAAATTCCATGCAATAGCAGTATCATCGCCAACTTAGATTGCACTACACAAGAGTACTAACCGCAAGTTTTAACAAACAGCAAGCACCAGTGAGTAGTGTACTCCACGGCGCTAGGAATAAACAAGTCCTGGCAAATTTATGATCCACGAATTTCAATCATTATTAGTATCGGTGCCATATTTATTTCACCACAGGCACTTGCAAATTCTAGTTAGAATATGCATCAGTAGATCGTGTATTCCATTATGCTGGGGGAAACAAGAGATGCCAAAAGCATTAGTCCACGAATGTCAATCATTAGCAGTATTCGGTGCCATATACAATTGAAAAGTGAGTACAAATTAAGCACTTGAAAAGGAAATTCTAGTCATAGAAAAAGGCACCAGTAAGTGGTGTACCCCCAGTTGCTAGGAATACAAATTCCCGGTAAGACCACGATCCCAAGACATTCAGAATTTCAATCCGTAAAGTACTGGTGCCATATATTTTTTTGCCATTTCTTGATTATACCACGAGTGCCAATGAAGCCCTTTGCTAAAGCAAATTCTTGGTCGGTGAAAGGCGCCAGCCAGTAAGTAGCCGTCCCTCCACTGCATTGGGGAAAACCAAGTTGGCGAGTGATGTAAGTGTCAATGGCGAAACACGTGGAACACAACAAAGGGCACAGAGCAAAAGAACACACACACACACAGTTGCGAAACGTTAACGGATTACGTGTTAAGCAAGTTTGGAAGGGCGTATATAAGATGTACAATGCAACAGTGTACGTGGTTATTCATGAGCACGGTGATTATATTTGTAACGTAGTTGTTAAAACTGTAATGTGCAGTTCTTGCACAAATCGGTGGCTACTGTATGAGCACATTTGACCAACACGTGCATTTCCCCTTAATGCAGTAAACTGCACCGTGCACATACTACGCCGTAATTATTTAACACATTTAAATGATTACGATGAATACTGTTCACACACTATGTAATGAATACTATTCACACACTATGTAGTGAATACACCTGTTTAATAGTGATTTTGTTTTTGTTATCATGTAAAACAAACACGGATGGAACTACGTCTCACTAACGTGACTGTCGTGTTGATAATACAATGTGCGTTCGTTCCACGTGCAACTCTACTACATGAAACATTTACGTACACGGTAAAGTTATTACATAGTACCGTGCTTAAAAACACTATCGGTGGACAATGGATATACAGTACATTCCTGTGCTGTCCCAAGTCAATGTAACTTTAGTCATCTTAGTACCGATTGTACACACGACTACATTATATTTTACCACACGAGTTAAGTAAATATGCCATGCATACAAAACCACACACTGTAGTGTAATAGGAGAGGGATGCCACCTTGCAGTTGAGACAATGAGATCATATACACGATAACAATTTTAAATACGCATTATTTTACCCTTTAACAATAGAATCCATTGCGTTAACTTGCTGCATTTAATTAAAGCTCCATGTGTCAGTGTACTTTACGTCCCGGTTCAGCAAAGCGTAGCTCTTTAAACGTCATACAGTGAATATTACTGCAATAGTTACGACACGGTATATGTATTATTACATAGACGCGTTGTATTACTCTACACTATGTGAATGGAATTACTCCCGTGGTAATTACTCTACGCTAATTCGTACATTCCACTTGCATTGAAGACACCAACAGCGACACGGTAGATTGTATTGCGCTATAACGCAAACTATTGAAGCGTGCCACTGTGATGTAACACTGCAAGCCATACGCATTGTACAGGCTACATTCATTGTACAGGCGACAGTCATTAATACAAGCTACACACATTGTACAGGCTACAGTCATTGTACAGGCGACAGTCATTGTACAGGCTACACACACATTGTACAGGCTACACAGTCGTTGTACACGCTACACACATTGCATACACTACAGTACAGTACTTGTAGAGACGACACTCATTGCACACACGACCGTCAGGCTACAGTCATTGTTCATGCTACAGTCATTGTACACGTTACACAGTGTA